GAAAACACATGCAACCAACCTTTGCATGACACCCATTGCAAGATTTTTTTGATTTCTACATAGACAGCAGCATCTATCCTTTCAACCTTGTTTTCAAAGTTTCACTGATGTGATTTTTACCTGTAAGAAAAGTCTGAATAAGCTGCATAAAACCAATCAGTTGTTTAGGGCAGAAACAGGACTTAATTTTGGAAAGGCCTGTGTTGACTGCCTACACAGGTACAAAATCCAGGTACTGTTAGATAGACCATTACCTTCATACTATGTCAGAGCTATCAAGCAAGTTCTAGTGTTCTTCCTGTTTCATCACAAATCTCCTACTTCCAGGTACTTTCCTTAAAACACTGAAAAAACGGTATATATACTCGCTGTGTGGAGGAAAATTAGGAAAAGGAACATTTAATAGCATAATATGAGTGGAAAAGGAGAAACGAAAAGGAGAGTTGTTGTGTTTTTGATTCCTTACCCCTCTCCAGGGTTTTAAGCCTACCTGCCAATTTATGATTTCTCATTGTTTGGATTTGGCACTATTGCATCACCAACTCTGTTATGAATGACTGCATGTTCTTTCTTTTGGACTGTAAACTTCCTTGGGCAGGAACTATTGTTTACTATACTTTTGTACCGCATCTTGCCCAATTTTTGGATCAGAGGTCTGCGGACGACTGCACTCAGCAAGTATTAAGGGAAGGGTAATGACTTATCATGTTTTCCCTGGCAGACCTAGTCCTAACAGGTTGCCCATAAACTGTGGTTTGGGAATCATTGTTCTAAGCTCACTTGTTGATTTAACACATTGCACACTTGTAGCCTAAGAATTATCTCCTCTTGACTATGCCAAGCATGATTTCAGGGTTATATAGAAATCATATTTATGTAACGTTTTAATGTTTTATTTTTCGTATTAGAATATTTTATTTTTAGTATTAGTTTGCTTATTTATATTTATTTTTTCAAAAGACACTAATGCAACTCTGAAATCCTTGCTTATTTTTGGTACTGCTTGTAGGCTTATTTGGGCACATTTGCTTCTTTTTAGTAAATCGCTCTTTTTTGCGAAGACACAATCCAGATTGCTTCTGCCCTGAGGACTTACAAATTAACCCTCCCCTACAATTACACATATTCCCATGTGGCTTGAAATACTAGTAGAATATATAACACGTTCACCCACAGCCAGTACATGACCAAGAAAAGAAAAAGTAACAGGAAAGTACCAGCAAATTCTGATATTGGCTGGCAGATCCAGGACCTCAACCCCCAGAGGACGAGAAGGAGCTGTTAGCTTGTGGTTAATTTCCAGAAGGAAATCACTAGCTGCTGATTTACAGGTAAATACGGAATTCAGCATATTAAGAAGACATGGGATGCATTTTTCAAAATGCACTACTGATCTTTTCCATTTCTAATGATTTTAAAGAACAGGATGCTCAATTTAATGAGAACAAGCACTTAGCCCCTTTGACAGCATTGGTGGAGTCCCAAGTACTTTACAGTATCTCGCACCTTCAGTTTAATATATATGTTAACATGGAGGCAGTACAAAAATCAAATAGTGAAAAAACAAAGCAAGTTTTTTTTTTCTTTTTATGTCCATCCTGGATTTAGAACTTGAGATTGAATTTTTCCTTTGATTTTATTATTTATAGTGGTTTGAAACATAAAGAAATTCTGCTGATTTAGATGGGCTTATTCCAGTCAAAAGAAAACTGAATTATAAAATACAAACCGTCATAATCTGAAAACCATACAAAACATGAAAGATCTAACTCAATCTAAAAATATGACTCAGTTTGAAAATCAAAAGCCTGAAATATAGATGCCAAGAAAGATGTCGCCCAATACTGTTGTATTTTGATTTCAAAACTTTTGCAGTATTTTAAAAGTTTTAATCTTTTATCAGGCTTTCAACATAAATATTGAGCCACTGAATAAAACTTGGGTTCAGACAATTTACAGTACTAAAACTTTGTGACCATTATTTATTCATGGCCCAGTTGCTGTTAAGCAGTTTTGTTGGAGACCCTAAAGTTGTTAAAGTCCCTGAAAATTAAAATATTTTCACACAGGCTATCATGTAAACAGGTAACATGTCACTTAGTCTTCATATTAGTTAAGGGATAAACTTGACTGGTTTTAGAGCATACCGATTTCGGCTGCAGTAGTTCTTGTTCTCTCTTTCAAACAAAAGCCTCTGGTTTGGAGAATAATGCCAAAGACATTGCTGTGTTTATAATTTAGCAACAGTACTAAATGTGAAGTTCACTCCAATTTTGTTGGCAGTTGCTACTATCACATGATAGAAACTATTAAATCAGTGTTTGACTAAGAACAAATTTACTTTAACAAACCTGAGATAACCTTGGTTTAACTTAAAAATACCACCAACAGTATTTAGTTGTGTAGGGTAATAAAGAAACAGTCAGCTTTTTTAAGTTCTATTTATGTCTTGGGTTGACTCCCAAGGTAAATTGTGGATGATTTCAGGGTTATTACTTGAAATAATCCAAACCAACAAAATAACATACTTCTCAAAACACAGTCTTAACTAATCTTTTTCCATTTCTGATACTGCAGTTATAATGTAATTTGTTACAATGTAATTTGTTAAAGTAGTGCAGAAACCAAGGCCTGGTGTTAGCAATCAAAAGTAGTTTCATTTCATAATGGCAGAAATGAAACTCTTTAGATGCTTCTTCTTGAAGTATGTTATTTTGAATATGCGCTATTTTTGGACACTGAACAAAAATGCAAATTCATAATGTTCTAATTTGGCCAGAAATATGAACCCCAACAGATTAAACCACATGATCATGCTACCAGCTTCTAAGATGCCAAATAGAAAAAAACACAGAGGCCTCTGTTTCTTGTGAAGAATGATGAACAAAGAGAACTTTTGATGTTTATTCTTCTGCACCCTAAAGAAAAAGGACTGTCCAAAATAGTGCCATTGTGGAATGATGCAACTAAGACAGAGGATTCAACCTTATAGTGACCTTTTCATCTTCCTTCAGCCCTCCATCAAATCTGTCCTACTGCTCTGCATTTAAGAGATTTAGAAAACACTTCTTTAATGGTGTTCAAAGCTCTTATTGCCAGATAAAGAACAAAGATTATTCATACGATTAAATATTTATGATGCACTCCTAGCAATGCCCCTCATATATATGCCCCTCAAATCAATTGCCTACTCCAAAGTTGCAGTGCTTGAGAGCTTAATGCATAACACTGCACCCAGGAAACACAAATTCTTAATCTGTGAGTAAATAATCAAGCTATTCCTCTTCCTATGCTTATATATGCTTTTAATATATTTCCAAGGGGGAAAAAAAAAGTACTTAGAAAGAATATAAATTTTCGACTGGCATATTGATATACAGATTTTATTAAGCACAAGGATTATTAAGCCGAGTGCACACGTAGAGGAACTTTTAGCCTGTGTGCCTTTCAAAAGAAATCACTGCCTTCTTTACTAATTGCTTTCCAGCTACTTTTTGGAGGAATAGGGAAGCCAGTGAGTGACACTGATATTTCTTAATAAGCCAGCAGAGGGAGTTCCTTAATAGGGCAGTCAATTTCCCACCCGGGCCCCTCCGCGCCGTTCCTGAAGTTTCTACTCCACATGAAGTTCAAGCGAGAGAGAACGCGACCATCGCCAGAATGAATCTCTCTTTAGCTGTGTCTCGCAGGCGAACAAGAGATAATTAACACCACTGTAATTTTCCATCATGCTTTCTTTTTTTTTTTTTTTTTTTGAGAACAAAAGAGACTGATAGCTAAGTTCCCCTGGCCTGCCTTCCCTACTCCCAGATTAATACAAAGTGACCCCCCCACCAAAGCTTCTGCACACATTTAAAGGCCCGTTCTGATACAACGCTGTGCAGTCTCATTTTACTACAAATGCATCGCACAAACATCTGTGACTCATCTATGCGTGAAGATAAAAGGAGGGTGGTCTAGCGCAGGCTGACAAGTGCCAAGAAAGAAAAAGATCTCTATACTCAGAATTTCTTTATAAGTAATTTTATGAGAATCGGCATATGGATCAGCCTTCATTTACAGTGCACAAAATGGATCTTCCAGCTATTTTTCCATACAGTTCTTTCTGAAAGCAGTTAACCCAGTAAAATTGGATGTGCTCCATGTTTTACCACTCAGCTTATTTTCTTCGAACATATGTGTTTACTTCTCAAACTGAAACAGTAATCTTGCCATTGTCTTTTGTAATCCGTATTTGTAATAATGCAACATTGCTGACATTGCTAACAAACCACCGAGTTCACTGAGCAAAGGGGACTACTCTGACAACATCGCTTTGATAACACAGACCTGAGCGAGCACGGTTCTCATTAGTTCTATGGGAGCAGGAGTGAAGGGGCTAATCTTTCTCCCTGCCTGGGTATTTTGAAAATCCTTTCCCTGTTGTGTACCAAAGCACTTAAGTAAATACATAAAACTAAGCTTAAGTTAATTACTGATTATTTAAGTAAATGCTAACAGATTTTGCTGACTAGCAGTGGTCTTAGAGCAGGGGTTTGAAATCAAATCCATGCTCAGTAGATTGAAGTCTAATGAAAGACTCAGTATCACAATCTTTACTCAAACTAACCCCCAGTTCCACTAAAGTCAATGGAACAACTCCCTGTGACTTAAAAAAGGATCAGGTTTTCTGACACTGGCCTCAGTAGGAGTTTTGCCTGCACAGGGCTATGCAATGGATCCCGAAGTTTTTATGGAAAGGCTAACGTGAAAGAAACCAGACCTCTGTATCCATGGAATTTGTTGAGGTGCAAGATTTTTGACATTGCTGAGAACATGTTGCTTCCTTCTAATAAGAGGAGCACAAATATCAACTCCCCACCCCCCCAGCTGGGGGAAATAAACCAACGCCGATCACTTTATAATATCCCACCTCCAGTATGGAGCTATTTTAGGACTCAGCCTTTGAAGGAAGTCCTTTGTTCCCTTAGAAAAACAAATATAAATTAATTTCTCTTTACCTGCACTGGTGCCTGCACCGGTTGTGAGGTCCCCACCCATCAGGCCACCTAGGGGGTTGAAATGAAATACTACAAATGAGCACGGTAAATCATAACAGGCAAACATTCAAAACATTTTCTCTAACTTCAAACAGCCTGATCCAGTATCCACCACTGTTTTCCCTCTACCAGGCATCGAATCAGAGCCACAGTCATAAAATCGTGATGTTTAATGTTACCCGTACAAGGTATTTGCCTTTCAAGGACAAGCAAGCTATGTAGTACAGAACACTTCATTATTTTATTTTTATGCTTCCACAGCATATGAAAAATATATCATATTTGAAAGTTACGTATAGTAGCTCCTCATTTGAAAACTGTATTTAGTTCAGTATCAGTCAGAAAAGCAAAGGCTTCCACACAGAACTGGGAGGAGGAGACAGACTGATCGTTCCTGTACGAGAACGTAACTCAGAAGCTGTAACATACGTTTACTCAGCTTTTCATTTTAATTTCCTCAGCCTTTCGTAGACATTCACTCTAAGGATTTAAAAAAACTACCCTTTGCACTTGGGGACCTCAAATGGTTCTTTGAACCCAGTGTACTTAAGGATCTTGATGTTGCTTAGGCCAGACAGATTGAACAAACTTAATCCCGATTTATCCTATTCAGAGGTGAGCCCTCATCGTCACCCGAGCAAAGCACAGCCTCTTGCAATACAAGGCACTCAGGTACAGAGCTCAACTAACATCTACCCATCAAGGAACCTGTGAATGCATAAATAATAATAAATTCTGCGTTTAGCCTCTGGACTGATGTCTTAAGTAATGAGTGCCCTATTTTACTTCCTTCAACTTGTTTGTGTTGGCTACATTTTCTCCCCTGCCCCCTTAAGCTTTATGGTATAGTGAGATCCTGCATGAAATAGGTGGACAAGCTGCCTTTTTATGAAACAGCAAATTGTCTGCCCTTTTATCCTTTATTGATCTCCTTTAATCTTAGTCAATATTCAGCTTTTTCTAGACTTTTTTTTTTTTAATTTATTTTCTAAATTGGGAATAGAAACCCCTTTGGCTCTTTTGATTTTTCAATACAGCAATTTTGGACAAACTGTTATGACGGTTAAAAACAGAGTTCCTTTTTCTCAGCGTACAGTTTAAAGTGACCTACGCCACACAAGCAGCTGATAAAAGAACATTTAAAGGGATGGGATCGAACAGAGCCTACCTGTGTTACCTGCACTTGGAGGCCGATGTGTCACACCAGGAGACATGCTATTTCTTTGCAAAGAAGGATGAGCCAGTGGCAAAAGGTTGGGGTTTCCCAGCGAGCTGACTGGGTTACTGTACACCAGACTGTTGTGGTTGGACACTGGGATAGAAACTGGCATCTCAAAGTTTGGTGGTGGAACAGCCTGTACAAGCAAAAAAGGGAAACAAAGACGAGAATAGTACAGAAGCACAACAGCCTTCAAGTACAGTGACTCTATATTTAGTTCAAATATTTTGTAGTTTGTGGTTAAAATATTTATGCTTGCCCCCTCCCCCAAGAGTCAATAGTTTCAAGAGTTACCAAGGCTTTTAAACACAATTTTTCAAATCATGATTCCATCTTCCGGTAATGCAGCTTGTACATTTCCTTTGTATGAACTGGAAAGGTTTTCTCACTCTTTTTGGTTTAAAACAAAACCTGCTTTAGGAGGCTTCATTTTCTCTTTCTTGCATTCCATGAAGTTGTAATTGTTCACTTGTGATATCTTAATCTAGTGTCACACATGACTGCAAGATCAAAGGTACATGATTATGATGACTTCATTGCATGGAGAAAAATTAGAAGGTGTGGAATGCAACGGGAAAAGCTTAAATTGCAGCTTATGTTGCTTTAGCAACCAGAATGATCCCAACACAGTAAATATGTCTAAAAAAGTTTCTATCTTAGCTTGGATGGACTTAAAAGAAACTAAGTTCTATTCAGGGACAGGTAGCAAATGGACACGAGTCTTTGGATTCTTTCTGGGTATTTTAAAAAAAATTAAAATTTTATTATTTTTGGTGTGATGCTGATGCTCTTTCAATAGTTTTTATACTTTAAGGCAGGATCTTCTTCTGAGTCACTTTGGAAGAATCCCTTTCAAAAAAGAACCGACTTACAGATCACTCTGACAGAAGGTGCGAGGAGATGTAGTACCTGATTCTCATTATGCTCTTAGAAAGTCTAACTCACGTTCTCTTGATTGGTTGGTGGGTTTATTGGTTGGGGTTTTCCTGGCTGGCAGTTGCCTGAATTTCTCTAAAATTTATGATCCTGGTGGCATTCAAATGCATTAGAGCTCCATATCTAATTCACCTGTTTAAAAATAATTAATTTCTTTTTTTTGTGAACAGAAAGAAAAATTTTTTCAGAATTACCTGACAGCATTTTAAATATTCAAATACCTGAATGCAAAGTAAGTACCCCTTAATTTGCCATTTAAAAATCTTATAAGCTTCCAGAGTCTAAACCCATCAAAAAATTATTTAAACCAGACTTGTAACATTTTCAGGGGGAGGAAATCGCAGATTTTAATTCTGTTCTTGGCAGCTGATAGTACCGGTAAGTCTTCAAGGACCCAGAGGGAGTATGTTGACAGCAGGACACATAATCTGCAGTGTCAGGCAACAAAGGCACCCTGACCTTGTGCCACCCACATGTCTCTTTTCTGGCTGGCCAGAGCTGCTGGCTGTGCCCTGCATATTACAGCATTGGCCATCAAATTACGGTTATCCTGCAAGGGTTTTTTTTCCCCCCCCTTCCCTTTCTTAGGGGCAGACATAATTTTGCTCTAAATATAGAGGAATCATTTTGCTTAACCACTGAAACACACAGCAAGATTTTTAGTTCAGGGCATGATACGAAGGATGCATTACACAAATGCCTCAGGACTTACTTCCGGGTGTTAATTTAGCTCTGAAACCCTCTACGTAGCCTGTGCCCTCGGTTTGTGAGAGACTGCCATAGCATAATGGCTGAGATGAGTTAGGGTGCTTGATAAGACTGACCACCTGGCACTGCTCCCTAGCCAAGGGGCTGCATGCTGGGACTCACTTCCTGAGAAGCTGAAGTGCACCCCAAAGCTGTATTTTCCATGGCGTTGATCGGTTTTAAGCAGAGGTGGGAAGGGGAGGAGAGGTGTCATGGGAATCTATGTGTTAAGTGGGAATGGAGGAAAACTACATGTGCTGCTAGGTCTGTGTAGGGATTCTGAAACATACTAATGTTTGTGTCTCACAAACAGAAATAAAGAGAATAAATGGTTACATGATTAAATATGTTCTTTCAGCAGCAACCTTTTTTTTGTCTGCAGATGTTTTCACAGTTTCAAGTCCAGCTCACTAGCTGCATGTGTGTCTTGTCTTTTAATGGAAAATTTACAAAGTACATAGCACAAGGAATACCAGAGTATGTCACGACTGAGGTTCAGGCTCCTTGGAAATAGGTTCACATATCATAACCCGAAACATTTTATCAGCCCAAAGGTATGTTTTGAAGCAAGTCATTCTCTTCACTGGCCACAGAAGGACTCAAGAGGTTCCCAAATCCCATGTAAATTAGAAGTGCATGGCTGCTCCTGGAGCTCAAAGCCAGCTGCTGCTGGTGGTTTCTGTCTTTTCAAAAGGTTTTAGCCAGTGAATTCACATGAGGGTAGATGTCTTAGCTTTACGTGCAGCCTGACGCAAGACGTGTAAGCCATCATGGAGTCTCTTGTTACTGCAAAGTTCAGGGCTGTGATGGAGATCTCCCTGCCTGGTGCTTTTGAGCAGATGATCCTGCCTGCCTGGGTGCCAGACCATGTCAAACTGAGTGTCATCCCCTGGGGAGCACTTTGCACAGTGTCTTCTTCACCTCTGTCATGAGAGCTGTGAAATCTGTCCTCTGAGCCTGGGTAGACAGCTGATGACACCAATACTGTGTCTATTTTCTCCACTTATTTTCCTAATCCCAACCTCTGCTGTGCCATCTAACCAAAAACATGGGAACAAATGCAAAAAACTAGCGGCCTTCCAGTACCTGAAGGGGCCTACAAGGAAGCTGGGAGGGGACGTTTTGCAAGGGCCTGTAGTGACAGGAAAGGGGTAACGGGTTTAAATTGAAAGTGGGTAGGTTTAGATTGGGTATCAGGAAGAAATTCTTCATGGAGAGGGTGGTGAGGCACTGGAACAGGTTGCCCAGAGATGCTGTGGATGCCCCATCCCTGGAAGTGTTCAAGGCCAGGCCGGATGAGGCTTTGAGCAACCTGGTCTAGTGGAAGGTGTCTCTGCCCATGGCATGGGCTTGGAACTAGATGGTCTTTAAGATCCCTTCCAACCCAAACCATTCTGTGATTCTGTGATTCTATGATTCTATGACAACTGAAGGTCTTGCTATTCCTCAACAGGCTCATCTACTTTTATCATTATGCTCTGTATTTCTTCCATGTACAAACCAAACCCTTCAAGGGCTACAGTCTTCTTTTTTTACATCAGCACAGCACAGAAGAGCTCCAGTCTTGGTTGCTCTTGTGGCTGTCAGTCTCACTAGTCACCACTGAAACTTAGAAACATTGCTGAAACAGATACTTAGCTTTCCTTTTGTCATTTAAAAATATTTTTTAAACTAGTTAAGCAAATTATTTTCTTAATTCCTTTTAATTTTCATCATTTTACCTACTGTCTGGGCACACTTACATCTATTTACAGAGTATTTCATAGTCAATTATTTTAGGGCAAAGTCAGTTTACTCTCTGTTTTGCAGTACAATAGAATCATAGAATCATAGAATGGTTAGGGTTGGAAGGGACCTTTAAAGATCATCTAGTTCCACCCCCCCTGCCATGGGCAGGGACACCTTCCACTAGACCAGGGTGCTCAAAGCCACATCCAGCCTGGCCTTGAAGACATCCAGGGATGGGGCATCCACAGCATCTCTGGGCAACCTGTTCCAGTGCCTCACCACCCTCTCTGTGAAGAATTTCTTCCTGAATACACACTATATCTGGAATATAGCATTTTTTATTTCTTCTCTCAGATTCCTCAGTCGTTACAGGTTAAGAGAGAAGTTTGTCTCGATAAGCATTAACATTAAACAGTAAGTCTCTAGCTACAGTTTTGCTGTGGTTGTCCAAATTTTGTTACAGCCTTAGATGTCCTTCACCAAGAACTGCAGCCTACTGCAGATTCCCTGGTCATTCCTGGTGCTAAGTCACGGGGCCTATCTATTCCAGATAGGCCTGATGGACATTAAAGCTTATGAGGCACTTGCGTAATATCTATATTAGTAAATTAAACTTGCCTAGGAACTGAGGCCATCTGAGGCCACAGAGCAGTCCATGTCCATACTATTAAGGTTTCTCAACCTTAAAAACATCATGAGCACATACAAACTGACAACTGGGAATTGTTCCTAGCCTGGGCTAACTACCAAACGAGAGCTAAGAAATTGTCTGGGAGAGTGTTATTTGGCCAGTGCCAAAAGCATGCCAGGGACTGTTCAAACAGTTCAGGGCAGAGATAAGCACCTCGTGCTGCCTTGGTAACGTTCTTTGCCATTTGCTAATTTACACACACACAGACGAAGCCTTTCTCTAATGTGTACGCAGCTTGCCATATTTTGCCTGTTTTTTCCCCTCAGTCTTTCCTCGTTTAGACACAATTGCCAAAGAGGGCAGATGGCTCACCTGATAGGATGCTGCCAGTGCACGGCACACACTGTGTTAGGTATGTGCTCCACAGGCTGTGGTGAGTTGTGCAAAGCACGACGACAGGGACTCAAAACCCTTGGAAATTAATGGACCAAACATTCTGTGTTAAATATTGTTTTTATTCCTCCCTTGTTCAACCAGGCCTTCATTTATTTAGAGACAGAGATACTTATAGCTCCCTTCTAGTGGACTATTTCTGTCTCCTCTGCTTTCATCACTCTTACGAAGACTACAAATGAATGTTTAATTATTATCAGATGTTTTAGAACAATATAAATACTTATCCCCAGAAAATTATCTGAGGAAACATTATTGGCCTTAGTTCTTAGGAGCAAAAGCCAATTTCATTTTCATTTGGCAGCAGCTTTATTCTGTTACAAGATCAGGCACAGGCAATGCATTGTATTATATATTTTGTAAGTAGTGATTTAATGACTTGACTTGGTGACTTTTTGTTCAATTTTGCATTCTTCCCCCCAACTTTCTTGGCTAACTTTGATGATCACAAGTAAATGAATATAACTTCCCTGACTACCTCGAAGTTCTACTGATTTGTACGGTTAAGGACATTATTGAATACAATATAATATATAAACCCCCATATATTATATTTACAAATTTCCATTATGCACTAGCTTTGATCTCCATCTTGCCCATTACAACTGGGCTTAGGCTAAGAGAAGAAGCACCTGTCATGTTAGGGGAGAACAGCTACTGACTTGCTTTTGTGGTAAGCAGCTCGATGGAGCACACAGACCTTGAGCTCTGCGTGTGAAGTATTCAAAGGAGGGATATCCTGTCTTACATGAAAAGAAACGCTAATGCTTTTCAGTTCTGTATCTCTGAAGCACCTCTGAAGTAATTTCACAAAAAGATAACACACTGTACCTTGTAACATTCCTGCAAGGTAGAAAGTCACATTATACCCAAAATATGGCTCAGGAAACCAAGTTCACCACCAAGTTAATAGCTGAAGTAGGACTATATATTTGATGTCAGAAGGTATATTTGATGACAGCAACCAGAGGGAAAATCCATTATTTTCTGGGAGGACAAAAGTGATGTACCATGTTTAGATTAACTGTGTTTAAATTAATTCCCAGAACGTTACTAGTTTTACAGAAAAGACGATTTTCCCAAATGTTTATGGAGGCACAGAAAGTGATTGAACTCACTACCACAGCAATGAGGGTTTTTTCCAGGTTTTTTTTCATGACTTAAGATTTCAAGTAATTAGAATATGTGCTGCTTTGTTGAAAAAAAAACCCCACAAAACCAGGTAGTCTGGGAGAAACAGGGGATCTGAAGGACCATCCTAAACACAGTTTTTAAGGTGGAAGAGTAGCTTAGTTAAATGATTGAAAATTCCATCACTTTAATTTGAACAAGCCACAGGTCATCCCTGAAAGAGGAAAGGAATGACAATTGGTAGGATTTTGATGTAAAAAAGGGTTAAGCATTCCAGCTTAATGTTGCAGTCATCGTTTAATGTTGCAGTCATCGTTTGTCTAACTGAGTTCCTCCTGAGAAACCAAATTCATGGTGACAGCTTTAGAGCTTTTTTTCCCTGACAAAAACAGCTATGCCAAAGAAGCAAATAAAAAAGGAGGTAAAAACCAGATGGAATATATATGGAATATGTGTTCCCCCCTGGTATTTTATATACATGTTGGGCATCCTTAACCAGCCCTTCCAAATACTAATTTATCAAATTTGGTGCCATTCTGTCTCTGGGAAAATCTTTATTTTTCTTTTTTTGCCAATATGTGACAACTGATTCAAATTTTAATTAACTTGCATGAAAATCTTTCTGCTGAGAATTAATGGAAAGAACACTTACACTGCATGAGACAGAATCTGAGCATCCTTAAGAGGTGTGTCCTCAGCTCAGGTATCAGATTTTGTACGCACTACTGACTAGCACTGCAGAGGAGAGTTTGCTCATTTTGGGTATACAGACATCCTTTTTGGTAGCTAACCATACAACCTACATGTAGAAATGAGCAATGAACTCTTTTAGAAGTAAGCGGTTACTGATGCAAATTCAGGTGCTTCTTTGGACCCGGGCACATCTTTAGTTTGCTACTTTCTCTTCCACACACATTTGGAAGAAGGGACAAATATAACCTCCAAACCACCACATTCTTGTTGTTGGCTTTATAAATGTAATATTAAACACAATGACAAAGTATTCTCCCCTTGTTTGTCTTGTGAAAACAAAATAGCACATGCAGAGTTATTTCTCTTAGATATCTGGCAAGGCATATGACTGATGGTTAGAAATTTTGACTTGGTTAAAACAAAATTTAGCTCATGTTAAAGCATTAAAGAAATGCTGATGAGGTCAAAGCAAATTTTCTGACAAAGCTGTAAAATCACCCCAACACACAAACATGTCTGAATCCTACCATTAGGCTCTCATGCAGTCTGTTTCTCTGCAGCGAGCAAATAGCTGTAACCCTTCAGTGCTGAAACCGAGTTTAGCAGAGACACTTGAGAACTGAAGTGACACGCACAGAATGCACTAATTACTATATATAAAGGAATTTCAGTTCTACATCATTTTTTCTATATCACCACAGAAAGTATTCTGTGGGTTTGTTAGCCTGTCCACAAAGAAAGATTTCCATCGTTATTTTTTAGATATAATTTGAGTGAGTGGTGTGGTAAAACAGTTCTGTAAATCAAGTGAATAAAATGTATATATGTATATTTCACTTCCTTCTGTAGGTTTCACCTATAGTAGGCTTTGTCTGTGTGTCAGAAGTAGAGATTTGGAAGAAAAATATGTTGTCTGAAATTTTCTGACCACAGTGTTTAATCATATATTGAGCTATTAAAGCCTGTTTCCAGCTGAAATGTTGTCCTTAAGAAGCCAGAACTGAAAGGGTTATGGTTTGTTACTACAGCGGTTATCAGCAGACAGCCATCTAACCTTTGGTACTTACAGGTATTTTATGGCTCTTGATCATATTATCAAATTCTTCATTAATTTTTTTGTATTTTTCTTCAGTGCGTGGGGTGAGAGCGTAAGAGGAGTCAGGATCGGGGCTTTCACAGCCTTTGTTTTCTTTCTTGTTCAATGCCTGCCAGGTTCAGAGAAATATCAAAAAGTAAAAAAAATGAAAGGGAGCTCAGAGTACTTACACATAATCTTTGCCTGCTGATCATTAGATCAATATCTTCATTAATTTTTCTGTACTTGTCCTCAGACTCAGGGCTGTGACCTACTGAATCGTCTGCATCAGGGTCTGGACTGTCACAGCCATTAAGTCCTTTCTTTCTCAATGTCTGAAATACATAATTTGGAAAGTTCAATCCTTGACATGGACTGCAAGAAAGACTCAGCAGTGTTAGAGTAACACAAAGTGCCCAGCACTGGAAGGTTTAACATTATGCTTTAGGGAAAGGAAGTGAGTAGAGATCCACCAGGCTGATGCCGTAAGTCTCCAGTTACGAATGGTAGGAGAGGACCATGCAGGCCTCTTTCTTCTGAAACAGTCAATAAAGAATGAAGCTGGCAATCTGGCAAAGTGCTAGTACGCACACACACACACTCCCTTGCCATATCTGATGGCATTTAAGGGGTTAAGACACCCACGCAGAATACAATTCATTTAAACATATTTATCCATATGAAACGAATGAATATTAAAAGCAAAGGATGCGTACTGTTTACAGTGGAATACCCTGGTGTTTTCCTTTTCTCTAAAGAAAGATACAGGAGGAAGAAATGAAAAAACAACCCTCTACAACAAATTTAGGAATTCATGTTCTTCACAGAAGAAGGAGGAGTGCCCAGATTGAATTCTTCCTTTGAACTGGTTGCAAGAGATGACGAGCAATGCCCTGCCACTCCTCAGTGTATGCTTTGGACAGGACAAGGAGGAGGGAGGACAGACTTGCTAATGTGGCTGTGAAATACCGATTAAGAGCTTGTAGACACAGTGTTTACTTTTTATTGAGTCCTGTTACAGTGCTACAAATGCACAGTGCTGAAGCTTAATATACAGGAAAAAGCACTGCTGTAACAGATGCTTAGTAAAAAGTCAAAACAGATGAATTTTTTCAACCCTCATAACTATGATCATCATCACCAAGATAAATAACAGAGATGAAAAAGATCAAAACTAGAATGAGATCCATAGCTAACAATTCAGAATGGTTGCTTGGCCTCAGCTCGATTTTAACTGATCTACCTTGACAGATCACCAAAGAACAGTCATGGGCTTCATCAAGGTAAAAGAATATGAGAAGAAGCCATTGTGGACTGCCCAAGTACAAGCAATAGCACACAAATCAATACTTGCAGGATTTCTCAAATTTAGCTTCAAGAATGCCTCCATCAAAAACTCTTCAAAGAGTGCATTTGGCTGTCTACAAGCTTTATTAGGCAGCTTGCAGTTAAATCTGAGATGAAACCTGGCTAAACAATCTCAGTTACAACACACAGATTGCCCAGCACTCTTGTCTTAATAAGTGGCTATGCTTATTCTATGTATTAATGTGGGATACTCTCACTGGTTTCTTTCTGCCTTCTCAGAATGGCTGCCTCTTACTTCTAAGCTTTTTGTTAGTTTCGGAAAAGTGTATTTCCTAACTGTTTTCTTTATGGCAATGCCCAGTTTACCACGGTTGAAGTCCTCAAGTATTATAATGTCATATTTTGTTTCTGTATCTTTGTATTTATTTATTAAATATTAGAGTTTATTTTCTGAAATTTATCTGAGATTTAAGATCAGAGACCTCTTATTCTGTCAAATGCTAAAAAGCTATTCTCCTTGTGGAGATCCCCCCAATAAACCTCACGTTTTCATTAAGTCAGCAAAGTGATGGTGATCTGCCCTAAGAGATCTGAGCCTTCCAAACTCGTGTTTTGGACCTCAGAAACATGTTTAGGCAACTGTGGAAGGCTGTATCAGTGCCGACCTTTCTTTTAAGCTTTGTATCTATACAGAATTCATGCCTAATCCCATGAGCTACTACTGACAAACGGAAAAAGTTATAAATCCATTGGAATCAAACCTTAAGAAGCTAAAACCGGCTGAATGATTCTCTACACTTCTTCTTCACTCCCTCTTATTTCTCTTTCATCTTTTAAATATTAACTAGCAGAACAGGCATAGTTGTGTATGATTTCTACTGCTACTAGCTGGAAACAAGCGAGCAAGATGGCTTTTGCAATCAGCTGTTGTTTGATAGATTTAGTAGATATAATGTATTAAAAGGGAAATTTCTCCTTTACATCTGCATAACTAATCTCAACCAACGTTCTTCTCTTCATATAAGTACAAAACAGTTGTCTTCTCAACGCATAAGGTGACATTCTGTTTTCAACATCCATTTCATCGAGCTGTCCAGACATGAAACCCAGATCAGCACTCCTGGGACCTTTCCTTGAGCTCATCTGAGTCACTGACGGAGTCTCCCTGTTTCACATGGAGTCTGTGAGGAATGACACTGCTGTGAGCTGGACTGGATGGCATCCTCAACTCCAACTGTGAGATGACAGCGCAGCTCCTCTATTTACAAATAGCAATGACCTCTTTTATTCCCAGAGGTCAAGACAACTGCAACTGAATAGGTGAGGGAAGGGATCTGCACAGTCGTTATCCTACCAGACAACCCAGATGAAGAGTAACAGGAAAAGACAAGAGAGGGAATGTTTTCATAGAATCATAGCATGGTTTGGGTTGGAAGGGACCTTAAAGACCATCTAGTTCCAACCCCCCTGCCATGGGCAGGGACACCTTCCACTAGACCAGGTTGCTCAAAGCCTCATCCAGCCTGGCCTTGAACACTTCCAGGGATGGGGCATCCACAGCTTCTCTGGGCAACCTGTTCCAGTGCCTCACCACCCTCTCTAGGAAGAACTTCTTCCTGATACCCAATCTAAACCTCCCCGCTTTCAATTTAAACCCGTTACCCCTTGTCCTGTCACTACAGGCTCTTGTAGAAAGGGACCTCCGATTTTGTAGTCTCTTTGAAACTTTTCCTCTCCTATCATTCCCAAATCCTTGTCTGCTGCATGCCCAAGACCATGTCTGGGTGAAAGAAGATGCACCTTGCCCGTGCACACTCACAATGCCCTAAAGCTCCATGACTGTGCACTTAGCACTCATGTGAAACAGTCATTTCTGTGGTTTGTAGAGGTTCAGGAATGCACTGCGACCTTTCAGATATTCAGAGGAGGAAAGGTGCTGTAACCTAATGAATGTCTTGCAGCAGTCTCCAAAAGACACCGGATTGCCTCCCAGCATAGCAAGGTTTTTATTTTCATACATATTTATTTTTATTTTCTTATCCTTAGAAAGCAGGTTGCTGCCACACCAGGGAGAGAAGAAGCAGTCTCTATTTTCACCAGAAAATACAAAGCCCATATTTAATGAAATCATTTTGGTATTCTACCCAAAATTAATTTTGGACCTAAAGAATATAGGCAAACCTTTCCCTTGCAGAACCCACCAATCTGGTGTGTGTGGCTGGTACCTCGGTTGACATGGCTAATCAAGCTCACTAATGCAGTGCATTTCTTCTCCCCCTGCCCCCCCCCAAAAATAATAAAAAAAAAGAAAACGAACACTCTTCAGTGAGTTGGGGTAAGGTTAGGCAACAGAAATTTCCACAGGTGTGGTGCGGTCAGAAGCACAGCTTCTAGCTTTGTGAGTGCTGGAACGAATGCCTGGTTCTCTGAGAATTGTATTTTGGGGTAAAATGCTCAAATAGTAGAGCGCTTGCTTAGCATGCGAGAGGTAGCGGGATCGATGCCCACATTCTCCAAGCTCACATTTAGGGTGGTGAAGCACTGGAACAGGTTGCCCAGGGAAGCTGTGGATGCCCCATCCCTGGAAGTGTTCAAGGCCAGACTGGATGAGGCTTTGAGCAACCTGGTCTAGCGGAAGGTGTCCCTGCCCATGGCAGGGGGGTTGGAACTAGATGGTCTGTAAGGTCCCTTCCAACCCAAACCATTCTGTGATTCTATGATCCAGAGAAGCTTTCCTGTGGCTGGGTCTCTCAGGGCTTCTCTTGCCCCTTACCCATCCTTCTGCTGATTCTTTGTTGTTTCTGTGTGTAAGGACTCATGCTGCAGTGCTGCCTTTAGCTGGGAGTCTTGCTGGGAGTAATTTCTGGTTCTCTTTTTCTGCACAAGGACAAATAATTTTCATGAAACTTTCTGGAACTTCATTGTCTGTGAGACCCTTTCCTTTACACCAGATTTGCTTGTCACGGAATAAAAAATGAAGGAGTTGTAAGGGAAAAGACAGAAGAGGAGATGGATAGACTGCACAGGCACATGAACACTCACATACACAGCCCTCCTCTGGAGAGGAGAACAGGCCAAGTGACATATTTATCCTCTGCACCAGGGCACCAAGTGGTATTCAGGACAAATATAATGGTCCTGAACATTTTAGCATTATCTCTGGCTTCCCAGATTGCAGGCTACAGTTTTGCCTGTTCTACTGCCTTGTTTGTTATTTTACTCTCCTCCACATCATTACCCACCACATTGTAACTTTCATAAAGGTCCCTTATTGTTATGCTTCCACTCAAGTTGGTAAAGCACAGCTAAAAATGGTGCTGACAAATACCTAACTGATCCATCCTATTCACAAGCTCTCTGGACTTGGTGTCAATTTTTCCTCTTCTCCCCTGCTGTGTGTCACCACTTGAAAGCAGAGGCTGATTCTGGATGTCAGAGAAGACTGGAGTCATTAAGAAGACCAACTGTGTTTCAGCAGGCTAGAATCTTTGACCCAGTCTCGCAGTGATTTAGAAACCATTTTTCTTACCATGTTAAGCTGTAAGAGCCTGTTGCGAACCCTGGAAAATAGCCAGACCTATCGCATCCTCCTGGAGATTAGCTAATTTCCAAAGATTTAATGACTATTCAGGGAATTTTTAAGAGGATAAAATTACACAATTGTATAGTGCATTGCATTCTAGAGAATCCCAAGCCAGATTTCAGTTATTTTTAAAGAAAATAAGCCATTTTTGAACTACGGAAGCTCTACTTCTTCCAAGCAATTAAACAAGTAATTATATTGGACTCCAATAACCTAAAATCAGCCAAGGCATTTGAAAAACAAAATGGTTAAAGGAAAACAACCTTTGGCTGAAATCTCATATGCCAGCAATTTAGCCTAAATCCTGCTCTATAAATCTCAGAGGAGAAGTGCTGACTTGGTGACATACTGGCTGCTGTAAAATGAAGTATAAACAACTATTTACTTACATTTCATGCAAAATTTATCATCACTAAAAAAGCACAAAAGAAAATATGGCACTAC